ACGGGGTGCCAGAGATGAGCGGTGCCAGGGACTGTGTTACGGACTTCGTTGTGTAAGTAGCTGTAGCTCAGAGTTCGAACTCAGGGAGCGACAAATGCCACATCCAACGTCCAGGTTGATTCGTAGCTTTTCTGGGTCGTGCGACCTCCTCTAACTCTCTCCCCTCTTGCCTGCCTCTTTCCCATGGAGCCCATTTGGTTGCCCCAATTTGGCAGGCGTACTCAGCCATGGCGGCCGCTGGAAAGTCTGCTACTGTGCAGCAGGATCCGTGGGGGCAGGCCGGGTATTCCAAAGAATGTAATATTGAACTTATTTACGACCCTGTTGTAGTAGTACTGCAGCTCGGTGCAGCAAGGGATGCTGCGGGGCCCTGCTGTTTTGTATAGGTATAGTTGGTTGGTGTTTTATGAGCTTATTATGTGACATCTTCTGAACGCAGTTCTCATTTTTACGCACCGAGCCCTGCAGGCCATTGCACGAGCACTTCCCACTTTGGTGCCCTGGCCGGCTACCTGCAAGTCAATGGCCCGACATCCAACACCCAGGCGCGGGAAGTGAATCAAACCCCTCAAAAACAAGATGCAGATTGACGCTTCCTGTCCAAAAGCTTTGGCACTGTAAGGCTTTTTGCCATCCAGCAAGCTACCCATTCAGCGCCGGTGGTGCTTAAACATGGTTGAAGCTTGAGGGTCCTGCTACCAAAGTTCCTCGGCTGCTTGCGAAAAAGGTCTTGCAAATAGTGCGATCCCGAGTTTGCTTTGCCCCACAAAGAGCCCCAACAGGCGCCTTGAGGACAGCATGAGGATGAGCCCAAATTTGCCTAAACGAAACCTGTAGATGCGCCGCGCCCATCGCAGGAATGTGGGAAAGTGCTAGGCTCATAATCAGGCTATCACTTGTAGTCCTTGTTCATTACATTGATGGATTGCGATGGTGTTTGCAACATGGCTAGCTTGCTTAGAGCAGCACAAGATCCTCCTTTGGAGGGTTTGCATGCTTGGAGGACGCTACGTGCGACGCAGGCGTCGCCTGCAACATCCAGGTAGCAGGGGAGAGCTTGCAGGCACGCGTCTGAGCTTCTGAAGCATACAAAAAGCGGCAGTAACATCGAGTTTTCAAGTAAGTTCCACGTGGCAGTGGCGATGATATCAAGATTGCATTTGTCCAGGTAGTCACACAAAAAAGATTTACGGGACAATCTGTTGGCAACTAGTCCATTTTCTTGCATGTTGTGTCCAGGCTGGCACCGACTCGGCAGTGCTGGTGCCAATCGCAAGTGCTTTGGCTCCGGGTTCAGGTTGAAGCACCGCCAAACATGAGTAACACGGGCATCGGCGTGAGGAATGTCATGAGGTTCTGCCCTGTCAAGATTGTGATCCTGAACATCTGCTGTAAGCATAGGTGTTGAGTTCAGCATCGTCCTGGCTACAGCAACCTTCACCTTGTTGGAAGGTAACATTTAGAGACACCGCCGTTCGGTAGGCAAAGCTAGATGTTGTGACTGTCAGGTGCTTGTGGAAGCAGCCGGGACGCGACCATGGTTGGCAGCGGCGGCACCATATCAGTCCAGAGCGGGGGTGTGGCTTGACGTTTATGCCTATTCTGTGGGCTTCAGGAAGCACCTTCCTTGACTCATGCTGTCTGTGCTTGTCGTGTCCCACTGTGCAACCTGCAGACTGCTTTGAGGTTCTGGCACTTTCTGCCACCGATTTGCCTATGGGCGGGGAGTGGCTGATCTGCTTCCCGGTGTTTTTCGAGAACTTTTCACACTATGGCGGCTCACATGCCGAGGGATGGGAGGACTAGGATGCCCTTTTGACGTTGCAGCCCTGAACTTGGAAGCCTGTGCCCCAGGTTACTGTGCCGCAAGTTGCTCAGATGACGCCTCCTTCTCCGTGCTGGTGGGAGTTCTGTCTGTGAGGGGCCCTTCCGCCACATCGCAAGACAGGCCAGGGTGACAGGACGTTTTGCCCCGAGCCAGCATTTTGGCTCACTACCTCCAATTGCTGCTGACTTCACACTGCCCTGCAGGTCGTGTATGGCTGGCCGCTCATGCCGCCAGACTAGTATTGTCGGAAGGTGCAAGACCATGGGAAGGTCTCCAGCCACCTGCGCGCCAATAGAGCAGCCCTTGATTGGAAGCATGGTGTTTTCAAAATAGCCCTTGAGAGCCCAGGCAGCTTCACTGCAGCTGGTGTTGGGCTCTCAGCCCTGGACAAGCTTCGTGCCGTGGCGCCCCGGCTGCACACGCGAATTGGCTTTCATCACATCACATCTTCAACAAGGGTTGACATTTTCTTGACAAGCAGCCCCAAATCCTTAAGTGGGGACAGCGGGTTCCAGTTGACTAGAGTGGCACCTATGCTCCTGGAGGCTAACACTTCAGCCTGTGGGGTGGCAGCTGCTACTGGAATCTTCCGTGGGGAGGACGACCAAGCTTGACACACTCTTTTTACGTCCTCTCTTTGGGACCAGCATGCTAATGCCATCTAATGCCTAGATGCCGGTCAGCTTGAGGACAAGACGTTGGACTTCAACCAAGTTTCCGGCCTGGCGGAGTTGAATCTATCACCCGCGCAGCTGCCTGCGGTCCCTTGGAGTCAGTGAAGTGCTTTCAGAGTTTTCAGGATTGCCGGGTTGATGGTTAGTAAGCTTTTCTTGAGGGACTGATCATTCAAACAATTGCCAAAGCTTTAGAGCCAGATCTGTGGTCAGGGATAGTGCGTTGATTCGAAGACATCCGCCAGGGTGGCCAGTGGAAGCTCTGCTACTGCACCGCTGGCAGTTGTGCCCATGTGGAGACGAAGAACAGGTTTGCTGAATTTTCTGAAAACTTTCTACTTGAGGTTCAGGCTTGACGTTTTAATTCCACAGCTAAGGCGACGAAGATGACGAGTTTGGGGCGAAGCTGGGCTTCCTGACAGTCTATGGGCCCGATTCAAATAGTCAGCAGGTTGCTTGCACGGCAGGCCAGGCTTGCACCATCCCCCTTACTGGGTACATCTCGAGTGGAGACAAGCTCGCATTCATGTCCAACAACTGCGGCGTCGACACGAGAGATCCTTCCATTGGCGGAAATGCATACCATCCAGTGGCCTATTCCTCTGGCTCATGGGAAGTTTCCTTGGCGGGAGGCGAAGCCGGATCCACGGAGCATGGAGGGGTGTGGCACATCTGCTACTGCACTTCGGCTGACGGCACAGCCTGCACTGCTGCGGCTGACTTCGCAACTCGTGCTGGTACTCTCACTCTTTACGGGCCACTGCCCAACCAGGACTTCTCACAACTTGCCACATGCGGTCTTGCCCATGGACCTTTTCGTTTTTGCTTTTTGTGGCCCGCAGGACCAGCGCTGCATCGCCGGCCAGGCCTTGCAATGAGTCTGAGTCAAACATATGTGCTCTGCTGGGCAGGCAGTTTGGAAGCAGGTCTCCACTTTTAACTCGCTGCCTGAGAGGCCTGCACTTTGCGCTTTGTTGGGCAGCGGTTGACCAGCTTTGACCACCTGACACTGGTGGCAGAGGCGGATGGCAAAAGAGGGGAATGGGAGAGTCTACTTTACAGCAAAGGGTGGTGGGGTGAGACATAGCGCACCCTCCCAGCAAGAGCTAGCCTGTGCTGCATTACTGCTGCCTCGTTCTGGTGAGCATCCAAAGTTGTTGTGCAATCGCTTGACTCGATTTATGTTCTCAGCTGGAAAAGCACAGTACAGCACTCATGCAAGAGAACCTGATCACAAGTTGACGGCTTCAGGGTGGCAGCTGCGGATCAACGTCGCCAGACGCTGCTGTTGCTTCAGGCCATGTCGGTTTTGGAACACCAATGAGAAGACTCCACAATTCAGGAGTGCCTGTATGGGAGTCCACGGGAGTCCTTTTCCTTGGATAGACTCTATGTGGATAGCGTGTGAAAAATACACATTTTTGAAGCATTTTGATCTTGACCCCGCATGAAGGCCAAGTCAGGGTTTTGTGTGTGTCCGTCTCGTACAAATTATACTGCGGCTTTCAGACTTTGATCAGGCTCTTCGTCAGAAATTGCATGCAGTGGGGCGTTGCCATCTCAACCCAAAACCGCTGTATTGCGGTGTGGACAGCATGCATGTACGCTTTGGAAATGGTGGCCGCGAGACTTCTTCCACAAGAGGCAGAGCAACAACAATAGAGCCTTGTGTTCAACATGGCTCAACTCACTAGCTCCTGTACTTTAAGGGTTCTGCATGTTGCAGCAATGGAGCGCTACTGGCAGCATCACGCGCGAAAATTTGCTCGAAAGACTGACCGACGAGGCACCATAAGGCGCTACCTCAGGGCTGCTCAGGCCTGCAGTTGATGAAATGTTTCTCGAGCCTTGCACCGGACATTACCAGCAAAAACATGCACGACCACGGGCTTGCGGGAGGCGTCCTCGCCGCAGGCATGCCGGCAAAAGGCAGACCTGGCCCAAGCGATCTGCCACGTCTGCGGCTGGGTGGCAAAACTAGCCTCTTGCCTGATTCCTTTGCTGCACTGCTGACGGGCCTGTAAGCAGATATTCGTTTGTGCTCTGTGTGAATTCAGCCAGCCAAGGACCTGCCAGTGCTGTGTCGGAATTGCGGTGAGCTCACCCCCCTTGAGCTGCTGGCACGGATGTTACGTGCCCTCGTAGAAGCGAAGTCACGGTCAAATGCTCGACTACCAGCCAGCCTCGCTGTTGCACGGGACTGCGTCGAGAGGTGGTGTCGGCAACCCGAAGTCGTATGCAGAGACTTGATGATGCAGCAGATTTTTTGAAAGATTGTTATTTTTTAGATTTTTGAGCCGCGACCCTCCAAAATACTGATGACCAGGGGCAACTTCCAAGTAGGCGTGGTTAGAGCAAGAACAGCTCATGGATGTTATGGAAGCATTTGAAAGACCAGAGGTGAGTCATTTGAGAGCCTGGAAAGCTTGCAGTACGAGTTGGCCGTAGCCCAGGGTGTAAGTGACCATGACGGAGAAGAGGGAACTCCGCAACTCGCAATGGAGTTCCAGCGCTACGTGTCGCAGTGGCACAACCTGTCCATGGAGGAACGTGGAGTGAAAGTCTCCACCTGGGCGTTGCGCCTCAAAACCCTGCGAACAGACGCCTCGCCCAAGAGGCTACGGAGATTGATCCTGCAAGCTGCTGCAGCCTTGTCGCCTCCACGGCTCGCTGCAGCGGGCGAAAGCGATGGCACAGGAGCTGTCAGAGAAGAGCACCGGGTTGCTCGGCAGCCCCATCTAGAAGGGTTTGCTGGCCAGTTATGCGTGTGGGGGATCAGGGGACTTCTTTAGGATGTTAATCATTGTTAATCGCCTAGTTTTCTCCACCCAACAGGTCTTCGTCAAGGGTGCCTCGAGTGCATGGGCCTGTACTTGCCTCCAAGTGTGGAGGAACGGAACACATCATCCCGAACGCATCAGAATCCAAATCCACGTGCCATCTTGGCCGAAACTGTCCTTTTGCAATGATGCCTAGTATGCCATGAAAGGTGACCGACAGCCAGCAAACTATCAAGAAGACTTTGCTCCGGGCGCTTGCTTTGTGGAGTTCCCGAGCGCTGGAAGATTCAGAGATCGAGATCGCGCGCTTGCGTATTGAGCATTTGATAAGGAAGTTCGAAGAATGTCATGCTAACATTGACTGTGCGGCGTCATGTAATCTCTGGAGGCGTTTGCGGGCCTTTGCTTTTGGTGAGCAGCGAGACACGCAACTTCAAGTCTATGCAGCTTCTGACGTTGGCAAGAAGAAGATGCACCAACGAAGACCAGCCATTAGGTCAGACACGAGGACGTATGATCCGGGAGAGCATCGCATGAAGTTGCCAACCGTCGAGCACAGGCCTTCGGAGCCAAAGGTCATCCGATGTGATCGTTGCTACCATGAACTCGTCTCTTGCTGGTATTTTGTTCACCCAAGGACATCCCGAGCTACTGTGCTTGTGCCAAGCAAGGGCCACATTTCGTGCAAAGGTGAACCCTCCGGGTCCAGAGCCTTCTTCAAGCCAGTCGACGGTTCCAACTCGAAGTGCGACAATGAGTTATCTCTTGATTACTGTGTGCACAACTGCCGACGGGCGGTATGTGCCCCATGTGGTGGCAGCAACATATGTCGGCATCGAAAGCCTAAATGGCGATGCGCCATCTGCAAGCTTACGATCCGAAAGCGGGTCAAAAAGGTGATTCCTGCTCATGCTTAGTTGGGAATGGCGGAATGGCCCATATCGGTTTTTACGTGGTCCCCATATGAAGCCTCGGCGTGGTCCCTGTAACCCATTGCAGCATGAGCAAGGATTTCAGCCTAGCTTTCATCAGGCAAAAAGCAGGGCATCCGGACTTTTTCTTGGTTTGCAAGGTGGCCCTCCCGTGCACCAGTAATGAAGTCTCCCACCGTCATGAAACGAGGCTCGACTATCATTTCCTTTGCGGGGAATGCTTATTACGGGTTGGAAGTTGGATAGTGCATGGCCTCTTCAGCTGTTGTGCTCAGAGCAGGACTGCTGTAGGGCACTTAAACCCCACAATTCTCCCGCTGTTTCCAGACGTTTTCCGACCGCTGTGGGCGTTGATCGGAGGGCATCAGAAGCATTCAGAAACCCTAAACCATCCTAAACCATAAACCCCGAACGGCTTCTGCTGGCAGGTGGTTTCCTGGCCCTGGCAGCAGACCAAACCCTGAGTTTGACGGGTTCTGACATCCCTCATGGAGGAAGGCTAGGCTGCTTCAATCTGGGGTCTGCTGGGGATTTCAGTTCTGCCTCTTTGGTCTGGGTGCTTCAGGGAACGGCTAGCACCATCAATGCAACAAGTAGCGGATGGAGTTGATGAGCCTATTCAAGCCGAAAGGTGGAGGATATGTTACTGCCCTGACGAGTCTGGTGGTAGTGCTTGCGGCGACAATGGCAACGCTGATTTTGGAGCAGCTTCTTTGCACTTAATAGGTCTGAAACGGTGTCTGCGCCCAAGGTTCTGAAAAGTGCAGGTGCTGGATCGAAAGCAGCAGAAGAAGCCAAGACCTCCATGTTTAAAACCGTATTATACCACAATATCGTATATTATTCATGATATACTGCATTATACTATCAGACCAGGTTCTTGCTGGCATGCTTGTGGTGCGCGGTCCAAGTCCGTCGCAATCGTTTCTCTGTGCAGCTGGGCTTGATTCATGCGATTCCCGGCCAGTCTTGAACATGCACCCAATAATGGAGAATCAAATGGACGAGAGAATGGAAAATGAAATGGAAACAGGGATTCTAGGGTAGTTTATAGGGATGGGGATTTAGTGTTGAGCTATAGTGTAAACTCCTTAAAGGGAGTTTAAACGCGGTTAAAGAGGGGGTTCTATGGGGATGGAAAAGAAAATGGAAGCTACTATTTAGGGTTTAAGGTCTAAACTTCTTAAAGGGGGTTACGTTGAGGATTATTAATGGGATTATCATAGGGCTTATGAAGGGGGATGCTGCGGTAGGAGTTTAGACTATAGCTCACATGCAGCACAGGAAATAATTAGATGCTGCTTGAAATGCCGGACATGTGTTTCATATGGTAGTTTCCCCACAATAGGGGGACCCCAACACGGACCCAAAAATAGTATAGTCCTTGTTTTAGGGACACCCAAAAAGGTACCCTCATTTTGGGAACCCCCCCTTACAAGCTTTGGCCATCAGGTTGCCGGAGCTCCGATTAGGTCTCGACACATACCCCAGCAGGCAAGATCCCAGGCTTTGCCTGCAGGGTAGCTACTGGGCCCACTCAAAGACTGCCGCAATCCAATTGCAAGTTCCGTGTGTTGACTATGACAGGGCTTGCATTCCACAGCCCCTCAGTAGGCTACACATTTTCCTCTAAGGAAGGCACAGGCTTGAATTTATCGCTTGAGCTAAGGTTGCTAGCGTAGATTGTATTTTGGACATCAATGGCACGGAGCTTTCGGCCGAGGACCCGGAATGAAGTGTTGGGCTTTGGACCTCTGGACACGCCAAGGGAAGGCATTGACTGAACTGAGTCGATGCAATGTTCTGAATTCCCTGAGGGTCTCTATGCACGCGCTGAAGCAGTGTGATCGGACGTTGCGTGCTGAGGTAGGGCCAAACAGCCTGAGTGAGAGTAAAGATCACACCATTCGAGCGAAGTTTCCTCAGATTTTTCGACAGGGATGAGGCAGCTGGTGCTGCCATTATTGTGAGTATCGCAGAATCCCAGAACCCAGGGGTCTAGCCATGCAAAAACCTGGCCAATCGGAGGACAGAGTGGCTCTTGTTCCAGGGTCGACTGGGTGCCACGGCAGTGAGATTTGAGGTTTGGGGTCTCGGGGCCAATGATGGCCTTCATTTGCAGCACTTGCGTAATTGTGGTGGGAGTATCGGCAGCACTGATCGCATTGTATGTTTGTGTGCTGGTGTGCCAGCAAATCTTAGCCGCCCCTCGATCTGTGAAATTTCTACGTGGAATCTAGATGGCCTAGAAATGGGAATCTTCAGACAAACACACATTTTCGGCATGGCATTTGAGGTCCTTACTATTGGAAGCTTTGTTTATTCGACATATTTCTGTTTTGTGATTTCTCAGAAGTAGCCGCTTGGCAATTCAGAATCGCAGGTTTTTTAGCTGCCAAGATTGTTTGGCAAGCTGTATAAACAAAACTATCACAAGCTGCAAGACCTTCCACAGAGGTAGCCTCCAGGCATCCTGGTGATCACAATGATTGGTTTCCCAATGTCTCCTGCAGTGTGTAACCACCCTGCATCATCTTAAGCCACCCTAAATGGTAGTTTCCCAAAAATAGGGGGACCCCAATATAGACCCCAAAAAATGATAGCCCTTATTATGGGGACCCCCAACAAGGGTACTCCTAATTTTGGGAGACTCTCAAATCATTCTAAGCCGCTCAGCCGTAGAAGGAAATCAGCAGCTTCGCTCTACCAGGTCCTGTGGCATCGAGGAGCGCAGTCGCCATCTGGCCCAGGATATGTACCCGCAGGCCACGTGTTTTGTGTGGTTACAGAATAAGGGAATTACTCTAGCATTTCGGGTTCAGGGAACATGGAAATCTATTCCTGGAGGGGTCCCTTTGCATGTATGTTCCTACTAACTGGCCGAAACGGGGCTGCTGGGGTTCTGCGGTCTTAGGAGTGGGCAAAGGGTGCGAGGGCAGGGTTCCCCAGCCTAAGAACTGAACAAGTGGCAGCAAAGAGTTTATTCGATCCTCAGCTTGCTCCGCGTTTGTGGGAAAATGTGGCCTAGTCTTCTTGGTTGTCCAAGGTGCGCCATGAGGCCAGTGCAACTTCTATACAGTTTCACATTAGGCATTGTACAGGCGGCGTGCTTTCAATGATGCTCGTATGTTTCCAGGTGGGTGGGCACTGCATTTGAAGGTGTCATGACTATACATGGACATCAACCGTGATTTCTGGGGATCTCATCATTCCAGGGGAGCTCTTCCTAAATTTTTTCAGATCCATTTGCTTCTTCAGACCTTGTGATTTTTCCGGCAAGGTGGGCACACACGGCAACCTCTCGCTCACAGCTGCCGATCTCCCTGCGGGCGGGGAGTGGAGGGTTTGCTACTGCGCAGCAGCTCGGCAGTTAGGGTGATGCGTTCAGGCAGGCATTAGAGGCAGTCGAGCGAATGCTGCGTGCTTCAGCTGTGCATAGCATGAGGAACATGCCAAGCCCCAAGACCACACCTAAGCTACTCTTCGCCCACCTATTCAAGGACAACTTCGGGTCGTGTGATGAATTTACCGCCACTTGGCCTTGCAAAGTAACATGCAGCATGCAAGCACTGTTGTTGTAAGTCAATGGTCAGCTATTTCTGGTGGTCTAGTTGCCCAATTTTTTTTAAGGGAGGGGTGAAGCTTAGGCTTGTTTTGCCTCCGGTGTGCTGTTAGGACTTTGCAGCAGATGCAGGGTTGCTCACCGTCAACGGCCCCGTGGAGGAGCAGGCACGCAGCACTGCTCATGACACTGCTCATGCTTCCCAAAACCAAGTAACTATCAGCAGTAATGATTCGTAATAGGCGTAGAGCGCCTGGCATCAAGGATTCGACATGCCGGGCTGGAGTTGCCTGCGCTGTTCCTAGCGCCGGCTTCACTGTGCAGGGGCGCAGCGCGCAGGACCAAGAAGCCTTTGTTTTTGTGGGTGAGTCTTGCACCAGCAAATTTGCATGTCGGTGTTCGTGTTTGTCATAGAAGCGCGGCCCATGGCGCCAAGCAGCCGTGAAGGACAAAGTGGCCCTCATCTCTTACGACAGCGACTGTGGCAATACCACGTCCAGTGTGCTGAGCACAGGGTCGGGTGCACTGCGGCAAGTGGCCAGTGATCCTCGACAAAACTAGACTGCAAAAGCGGTATGGAAGCGTCTTAGCACGAGCAATTTGCCGTGGGATTTCCTATCGGCAGTAGCTGAAATCTCAGTCCAGGACTTTCAGTTAGACCTCCTGCCAACTGACATTCCTCATGGCGGCCGCGCACTCCTCAGATGTGTCCTCGTCTGTAGGAAAGTCCAGGAAGGCTTTGTGGCTGGTGGCTATTAATCAACGTGTAGGTGCTTTGGTTAGGTATTCAGCGTTGTTCGCATGCCGGAAGTGAATGTAACGTTTCAGCTTGCAGCTGGAGTTGCCCAATATTGGCATCATGTGGGTTGCAGGCATTGCATAGTGTGTGCGCATCTCGGTCCTGGGAAATGCTTTCACTTATATACTCAGCCTTGGAGCTTCAGTCGGGTGGGGCAGGATGCAGAGGAAAGGGGAAGTTGAGGCTGGAAGATGTGCTATTGCCTCGCCACCCCCGTGGCCACATTGAACACGGGCAGCTGCACCTCCTTGGAAGACTTCCGTGACTCTGCCGCGATAATGACCCACGAGCGGGTGTGCTCAAGAATATCTGAGGACACTGCGTTGAGAAAGCCTGCAAATTTTACCTGGGTGCGTGAAAGATAGGTCGTGAAACCGTGTTGGATGTGACCAAGGTGTTTCTGCAGGCCTGCTTACCGTGCTGGGACCAAGCGCCCATACGCAGGCGGATGTGAGTCGTTGTATGTCGTTGTACTTCGGTAAGAGTTGGCATTTCCTGAAATTTGCTACAACAGCGGCTTACGTAACCTGCCTGCCCCACCGATGGTTTTCTTCGAAGCTGCTTATGTTGCTATCCCTCCACTGCTTGCTGCTGATGCTGCTGCTGCAGCCGCTGCTGCTGCCG